AAAAAAAAAAAAAAAAAAAAGACCAGCAGGATGGCTCACACCTGTAATTGCTAGCACTCTGGGAGGCCAAGATGGGTGGGTGGATTCTCTGAGCTCAGTTCAAGACCAGCCTGAGCAAGAGCGAGACCCAATCTCTACTAAAAATAGAAAAACTAGCCAGGCATTGTGGAGGGCACCTGTAGTCCCAATCAATCAGGAGACTGAGGTAAGAAGATGGCTTGAGCCCAGGAGTTTAAAGTTGCTGTGAGCTATGACACCTTAGCACTCTACCTAGGCCAGCAGAGTGAGACTCTGTCTCAAAAAAAAAAAAAAAAAATTGGACAAAAGCCATGTTTCTGAGGAATTCTATTTATTTGAATCATTGCTTTAAAAAACTGTCTTCAAAATGATGTTGTATTAAAATTATCTAAATTGTTGGATGGTTCTGTGCAAAGGTGTGAATTAGACTTTTGGACCATTAAGCCAGGTGTAATGGCAGGGAGTTGTCTTGGTCTTAAGAAGACTGTTAGGTGAGATATACTTGTAGCAGTCAACACACCATACCATCATGGCCACTATCACATGAAACCTTCAAAGCAGGACATGGGGAAAGAGCGTGGTGGTTATCCGTTAGTTATATACAAAGTGAGCCAGGCAGCACAGGAAGGGCATAGTGTCCCACATGATTCTGTTTTCAAGCAAACTATTTTCAGGCATAACACAGTTGTTCATTATCTTACTCCTTTTACTTCATACAGAGGCTCAATAAATTTTGTTTCCTCTGAATCAAGTGCAAAAAATAATGCTTTCAATAACCCCTTGAAAGCAGAATCTCCTTAAAACTCTTATCAACACACTCAAGCATGTGTTCACACTGCAGAGACCTGTTTGTCTAACTAAATGTGTATTTTCACAGGTGACATCGTGATGATACATGAGAAAAAAGAAGAAGGATGGTGGTTTGGCTCTTTAAATGGTAAAAAGGGCCATTTTCCTGCCGCTTACGTGGAGGAGCTTCCTTCCGGCTCCGGGAACACAGCTACACAGGCATGAAGTGCGGCTCCAGACACACTGTTCACATACTCTGTGCGCTAACAAGACTGTGCAGTGCAAATAAAGATAAAATTCTGTTATTTTTTCCAAGTTTTTATTTCTAAATGGGCGAGGAGGTCCCACCTGTCCGTCACAGCACTTTGCACTCATGGTTATTTGCCCCAGACACAGTCAGATGATGGAAGGGTGGAGGGAAGCAGAGAAGAGGCTCATGATTCCTAGAGTTTTTGAATTCTAAGAGACCCTAAAGATGATCCAGGACAATCCCCAGTGTCACAGAAAAAGAGACTGAGTCCAGGGTGGGTTCAGCAGCTCTCCTGAAGTCAGTTTCCTGGCAGCACAATGCAGTTCAGACTTGGCTGTCCTTTTGCTCTGGACTTGGGTGGCAACAGGGCATAGCAGGCATGGGAGATGAGGAACACAGATCAACTCCAAGAACAGAGACAGGCAACCAAGACTCCAGTGAGACCAACCTAAGTTAGGGGCCAACAGAATCAAAGGCCAAAAGCCGCAGAATCGGTAGAGGGTGACAGACAAGAGATCCTAGGCCGAGGGCAGAACAGTTTCCTCCTGAGCCAGTGACCCGAGGCGGGGGCTTCTTCCCTACCTGCTGTCTGCCACCAGAGCTGCTCATAGAATGAGGCCAGGTGTGAGACGGACATGGCTGGGGATACGAGAACAAGAGCAAAGTGGACAGGAAAGGGTTAGAGATAGTGCCCCAAATTTCATGCCTCCTTGCCCATTTGGAAACTACATTTACCAATTCAGAAACAAGGAATTCTGCACTTCCCAACAAAGTCATTATGGAAAAAATATCCTAAGCAGTTTCCAAATAAAAGGAACTTTAAATGCCAATGGGTCTTTAGTTCAGATAGTAAGTTCTGGAAACCAACCTTCACTATCAAAATGTAATATTTAGGGGGAAGATGATTTGTGCCGTTTCTTCAAATGCCCCATAATGAAAGACTGGGAATGAGAGTAGGACCCAAAACTCCCTCCCAGGGGAACAGTTTAGGACAGAAAGAAGGTTATAGCAGCAGCATCTTTCTAAAATGACCCAAGTCTGCCTGGGGCTCACACATTCCTTTGAATGGAAGGTCACAGTGTTGACAGAAACTCCTGGGCACATTTACTCTGGTACCAACTAGAGAGTCTGTCCTGTAGGACTTCAATTCAGGCATTAAAGGAGTAATTAAAATCCATTCCATTACTCTCCTGTCCCTTACCTCTTTTTTAAAAAATTCATCAAACTTTATACTTTCGAGAAGGAATTTTTACAACTAAAGAACATTTTTTTTTTTTTTTTAATATTCTGAGCCACTATACTCCTATAGGGGATATAATTAACACAATAGGTAGTTACGGATAACAGATAGATTTGAAGAGGTACGAGGAAGATTTGTTATGTCAGACATAACTTATAGCCCAGAAGAACAGAAGTTTTAATGCCATCCTTAATGGCACGGTAATGAAAGCTTTCTGCATGTAAAGAGTTGGCTGAATAATAAGCCATTAGAACATGAACAGAGATTTTGAATTTATATTTCCTTTCATCTCACTACTCTCCAGAAAGCCTTGATGGATAAAAAATTGTGTAGCAATTGACTACAGCCTACACTTTGTATAAATGATGATAATGATGGTTGGACCCTAAAACTCTTTGAATGTAATTTTCAAAGAGATCCTTCTTTCTTCATAATTTAGTTGTATTTTGTGAAAACATAAATGGTTCTTTTTCTGTTTTGAAATGTTGCTTCAAATTCTTTTTGCATCTGTGACGTATAATTGTTAAGCTTCAAAGAAATACTATAGTTTTAAACTAGATAAAATACAAATATAGTTGGGTATAGATTAGTTGAATGTCTTTTTAGTAGGGCAAGATTTTTCTAATTGGACAGATAGGGGTGGTGTTTTTAGATTTAAAATAAAATTAAGTACATACTATGGTGAGGATTAATTATGTGCCCTGGTCAAACTCAAGCTCTTATTCACTAATATACTTTATTTCATACACTTCATATTAACAGCCACATACCAATGGGGGAGGGGTGTCAGAGACCATTAAGGTAGCTAACCCCACCCCATTGGTATGTACCTGTTCAAAGTAATTCTTCCAAAGTCTACTTTTATTTTTTTTTAACTTTTTACTTGAGCATTAAAAAAAAAAAAAAAGTTGCTCACAATTTTGCAAACACACAATCTATCCATACTCACATGTAGAAACTCCTATACTACTTATTGCAGCCCAATTGCTAGGTCACGGATAGCCCAAGTGCCTATTGACCCTCGAATGGATTAATAAATTATGGTATATGTACACCATGGAATATTATGCAGCCTTAAAGAAGGATGGAGACTTTACCTCCTTCATGTCTACATGGATGGAGCTGGAAAATATTCTTCTTAGCAAAGTATCTCAAGAATGGAAGAAAAAGTATCCAATGTACCCAGCCCTACTATGAAACTAATTTATAGCTTTCATAGGAAAGCTATAACCCAATTTTAGCCCAAGAATACGGGGAAAGGAGAGAGGGATGGGAGGGGAGAGGGTCAGATGGGTGGAGGGAGGGTGATTGGTGGGATCACGCCTATGGTTCATCTTACAAGGGTACATGTGAATTTTTCTAAATGTAGAATATAAATGTCTTAACACAATAACTAAGAAAATGTCATGAAGGCTATGTTAACCAGTTTGATGAAAATATTTCAAATTTTATATAAAACCAGCACACTGTATCCCATGACTGCATTAATGTACACAGCTATGATTTAATTAAAAAAAAAAAAAGAAACGCCTATACTTTTATATCAGGTTGTTCAGAAAATATTCTTTTGGCTTTAAAATTTACACATTGCTAGCTCAAGTTATTTGCAAAGTTGAAAGTCTATAAAACAAAACAATTTAGTGGTTTGGAGAAGAAATGTGCCTAAAAATGGTTCTAGGGCCTAACTTTATTCTCATTTTATTTACTAAAGTAATGTGATTCAAACTTCAGTGAAGTATATTTACTTTGCTTAGTTTGAAAATAGTTCCTCAGCCACAGAGGTAAACTATATTAGACCTGCATATTCTCCCAATATTTTACAACCATCCACAAGACATTTCCTTAGGTATTTCCCTTTGATTTAGGCAATCAATATTTTTACTTTCTTTATCCCCTAGTCAAATATTTAAGAAAGAAATTGCATGCTATCTTTACCATGATTAAAATATCAAAAATATGGAGTACAAATTAAATAACCATCATTGGTAGGTCAAACACTATATAAATTGGTTCATGCATAATATTTTCTTTTAGCCAAGCAGGGGGCATTTCCCCCTCAATTTACAGATGAAAAAACAGAGACCCAGGGGATTAGTAGCCTGCTAAACATCACACTGGTGATTACAGCCAGGATTTCAATCTGGATCTATTCGATTCTATACAGAATAAAGTAATTTTAAAATTAATACTTTTAAACTGTTAGTTAGGCTTTCATAATTATACTCACTAAGTAGTTTTATATGTCAGAAAAGAGGTAATACCTGAAATACAGGCCGTAGAGGCCTACACCTCATTTTCACTGAGATGTGAAAAATGCTATTCTGCTTTATCTCCTTTCCAGTAGAGTGAAAGCTGATATATCCATCATGCTATCAACCTGAAAAACCTACTAATTTCAATTTTTTTGCATTTTCAATTAGCCATGGTAATATTCACAATGACAAAAGGCATTTTAAGGTACTTCATAATTCATCAAAAAGTACTATAACATTTCATTTAGGGTAAAGTTAAAGGTGTTGTATGTATATATAGTATTATAAGGCTTTAACTGATTAGTAATTTGAGCATAGTTTAACTTTGCCCACTGTTTGCCTCTCCCCCAAGACAAAACTGCTCTTCTCCCAAAGCCTCAATGACATTGAGGGGTGATCAGCCTGACAGGGAGCAAGAGAAGTGCTCTGGAATCAGCATAACAGCATGTTTCAGTGTCCTCGGCAGTATCATGTAGGAAGATGGGACTGGGGCATCATGAGAAGACAGGACTTAGCACTAAATTAGGTTGATAGCTTTTCTCTCGAAGACCTATGGAGTTGAAGCAGACCTAAGTAGAAGGGAAAGCAAACTGAATGGGCTGGAGAAATACTTTGGCTCTAAAGTGGGGCTTTAGAGGCTGCTGGGCAGGTGCCTCACACCTGTAATCCCAGGAATTGGAAGGCTGAGGCAAGAGGGTTGCTTGAGGCCAGGAGTTTGAGACCACCCTGGGCAACAACCCCATCACTGCAAAAATAAATAAAGCTTAGGACTAATGTAGTGTTCTAAGGACAACAAAGGGAGTCACATAGTGAACACCTAGAAGTGACTGGGGCCAGGCTGGCCAGGTACATGGGGTATCAAATGTGCTATTGACATCAGTTTCAACTGGCTGGTAAATTAAGTTTTCTTCACACTGAGACAAATGGCAATTGCTAATTTCAGCCATTGTCCAGGGATGGTGTCTAGAACTAACAGCATAGCACTAGTATCACCTCAGAATCTGTAAGAAATGCAAATTATCAGCTCCCATCTTATACTCTGAGACCCTGGAGGTTGGACCCAGCCATCGTGGTTCAATAGGTACCCTGAGTTTGAGGACCACTGCCTTACTTGAATGGATGTTGAGGTGCTGTCTAAATCTCGCCCAGGAAGATTGCTGTCAGAGAAGGTAGAAAAAGCTATATGTGCAGTGAGCACATTTTAAAAAGAAAATTTAAAAAAATTTTATTTTTTATTAAACCATAGCTGTGTACTATGCACACACAATCAATGCAGTGATGGGGTACAGTATGCTGATTCTATATACAATCTGAAATATTTTCATCATACTGGTTAACATAGCCTTCATGTCATTTTCTTATTGTGTTAAAACATTTATATTCTACATTTAGAAAGATTCACATGTACCCTAGTTCAATACGTTTTTCAAGATGAGTGGTGTTGGAGACGGAGCAGAAGTTGTGCTGCCTTGTGGGGGCTGCTCTGCTTAGGGAACCCTTTTTCCTCTTCTTGTTCATATTCTTCTTTGGCCCAGTAAAGAGGAAGACTTTGGCCTGTATTAC